CACGCAAAGGAGCACAACACCGTGACCAGATTTTGTGGACCAAGAGAGTGTGTCGTACGAGCTGCACATGTGCACGCCATTGCTATTTGTTTATAGCACAGACGCAGTAAAATTTGACAAGCATGTGACTGTTACGAAAGCTGCTCTCGTGATCCTGCCGCGTTAAAAATGATATAAACGTGCTTTCACTGCGGGAGCGCACGCTCCAGGTGAGTATTTTTGCGAGCGACGCGCGAGCCCATGTGGAACGCAACTTGATATATAACATGAAAATAATCCAAAATAAAAAAACAGCACACCCTACCTTGCTCGTGACATTCGGAGAGAGAGAGAACAACTTTACTGAAAATGCCTGCAGAATCGGTTAGGCTCCCTCCACGCAGGGAGGACGAACTTTCACCGCGACGCGGCCACTACGTCAGTCTCGTGCGTTCTGCTCCTCGAGGTCTTGCTTCCTCGCTAGCACTCAAAGAATTCCCGGCCGCCGGGGTCTTCGAACATCTGTCTCGCAACACTGTAGGACTGTAGTCTCACGATGGTGGCATACTCGTGGAGCATTTTTCGACATAGAGTTATTATAATGTACGCTAGAGGCTCAACTGGCGCTAGTGCGCTGTTGCAAATTGAAGCAGACGGCAAGCAGTCGGAAATTGACCTCCGGTAATGTATTTCTATGGAAAAAAGCGAGTGCATTTCCTCTCTGCGCTCGATTATAAGAGCAAATATAACGAACAATTCGTACCCACTAGGCACATTAGAACATTTCCCAGTCACGCAGATGAAATAATTGGTCAGTTACGGCGTTTTTATTTTAAAATCGTGGCATGAAAAACGGTGCTAAAACTGTTTGGTACGTGTATTTATGTGCACTGTCGGACACTGTTGGCGCGCACACGGCGTCGGCGCTTTCCAGCATGGGGGATTACGTGCCAAACGAATGAAGGACATGTGGAAAACCAAGAAAGACGGCAAGAACAACGCAGTAACACTGGATAAGTAACTCATTGTGCTTGCAGACGATCAAAATAAATTGAGAGTCACGTAATACAGTCCGATTTGCAATAAATAAGTACTGCTTTATTCTTTCTGCTCATGAATATATGCGAAGATGCTTGTTCTGTGCTCAAATCGTCACCCGCGCGCTCCAAATATTTGCAAATAGGGGAAAGCCTGAGAACTGGTGCGCGATAAAAACTGCCCGACATAGGAAATAATAAGAAAACACACCTTTCGTAGCCCACGTACTTTATTTATTATGTTTCTAGCGTTTTTTTAGCCACTCGTAACGATGCACGACGGGTTCATGTTCATATAGTGAGAGGACAGGCATATTAGCAATATATAAAGCGCGAAACACATGTACGACGAAACCGTCCGATCCGACGTCCGACCGCGCAATACGACGGTCGGAGGCGAGGGTTTTCAACGCTCTCCGATGCTACGAAAACCCTCTCCCCCCAGGGTCATTCCGGCAGTCCGCACGTCGGATCGGACGGTTTCGTCGTACATGTGTTTCGCGCTTAAGCACCAAAGGAATGCTAGCGGACTTTTAGCACACTCTACATTCCTTTGGATCGTTATTTTGCTTAGAATCGTCGGTCGTTTCTGCATACCTGTCATGGGACAGAGGTTTGGGCCTGAAATATAGCGAAGTTTAACATCGTTCAGTGGTAAAAGAAAAATGCTGTAACTAAAGCAATTACACTTTCACAATAGTAATAAAGGTGCATACTATCCGGTACAACCGAAATAACAAGCGTTATTAATGTTATTTTCCGGCGACGAGACAAAATTCACGCGTGTTTTTTCATAGGAATACACAGGAAGACTGGAAAAGTAGACTGCATGCCCGGAGCGCTTTGTGTAGTGAGGCATAAGTGAGGCAATTCGAGCTTCGTAGCCCGGATCCTGCCGACACGACGCCATCACAAAACAAAGCGAGTGCCGCGGTGCCGCCAGTGCCGCTCTAGACAGAGCGCGTCGCGCGCCCGGGCTACAGGCACCATTCCCGGGCTGCGCGGGCTGCCCGGGCGACGACCCGGCTTGACGACAGCCGCTGATTGGTTGCCTGGGGAGCCGCCGTGACGTCAGCTACCGTATGCGGAGACCCGCGTTGCGCGCCGTTCAAACCAAACCGTGACGTCAGCACACGTAAACGGGAGCCGGAAGTGATTACGTCAGTACGGGTTCCGGCTCCCGGGTTCCGTATTCCGAGTCTGTTAGAACAGCCCTTTAGAGTTAACCAGCTTCGAGCAAACGGGCCCTGGAGTAGTACTGGACTGGCTGGAATGGGGCTCGTCCTATTCACTGCGGTTCATTGGAAGATCGGGAAGCGGAACGCAATATCCACCGAAAAGCTTTTTTTTTTTTTTTAAGTTAGCGAGCGTGTGTGGTTTTGTGCATGTGCGTGTGCGTGCGTGCCAGCCTACATGTGAGGTGGAGGAAAATAGAAGTGCGTTGTTTGCTCATTTCGCGTGCGCGTCGGTCTCTAACGTTATTGTGCCCGGTGGCCTGTGGTTTGCTGCTCTTCACTTTCGCTGCCTGGAGCTTCTCAACAATGCCAAAAAAGAAGGTCCCAAAGAGCGTGCTGATTCGGCAATAGACCCAACATTCCTTTTGCTACTCTACCGACGGGGATATGGTCTTCTGTCAACTTTGAGCGAAGCAGGTAAGAAGACACCCTTAGAGGTACCTTGGTTTGGAGGAAAACCAAAAGTTGATCGAACGATGATTTAGCGAATGAATACGAAACCACGACATTTCAGCGAATGACGCTGTTGCGAATGGCAGCTTCGTTTCCCCTGATCGAGAGCAAGGGGTAACCTCGCCAGTTTAAAAGCCTAGCTCGTCACCGCCGAAAAACAGCCTATTCGCTAAAATGTCATTCGCAAAAACGTTCGGTCGCTCAAATATTTTCTAATCGCTAAAACGTCATTCGCTCATATAATATTGACCAAGAAAAACACCCGCATCTTTATTAAAGAGATGATATAGATGTATTATTTAATCAAATGTTTAGTGGCCCATGGGTTGAGGAAGGGTTTCCTGCACAAAGTCCGCATGCCTCCACAAAACTGTCTACCCCCCCCCCCCCCCCCCCCCCCCCCTCCGTGGCCCAGACAGGCACATACATTTGTAATGCAGGAGTTTCCTGAATCCTGGGATGATCCTCTAAAAACAGATTAAATATTTTTTTATTCGACGGATACCAGTCAAGCACAATACTTTGGAAATCTATTAGCCCTGAAAACGAACACAACCGTTGCTGTGGTTGCAGCGTGCTGATTAGCTGCTGTGTCCCTCCGTGACGTCACAGTGAGAAAAGCGACGTTGTTCCCGTGAGATTAGCATTGCAAGAATTAATTTGTAAGCATGGTATTCAAAGACCAAGCAGAAAGAATATTCGAAGTTAACATTAGCCATTACCGGGCCGTTCGCAAGGTGACTCAGGAAAAAATTCCGTGACGTCCCGGACAGGGACCACCGAAAGGAGTCACACAAACTTCTTGACGCTAATTGAAATTTTACCTAAGAAATTAACTATACTCTGTAACAATACAAAAGGCACACCGTCTTTCTATCGGACTACTGATCTCCAGTACGTGGTTGTGGCCTCCCGTTATGCTTTGGATGGGCGTGTATAAAGTTGAAACTCACGTTGGGGGCGAAGCAACTGAAATATCCCTTACCTTGCGCGACATAATCGGCAAACCAACTCTAAAGAGATGAATAGCGTGCAGCATTTCACGATGCCCCTCCTAAACAGCACGCACCCAATTTGGACAGGAGTCGTAGTGCACCCAACAGCCCTACGCCAGCTGTTACCTAAGCGACAGATAGTCTGGCAAGAGTGAGCTTTGGCAGCGGAGCGTATAGCAGCTGTGTGCTCTGATGCTAAACTAAAACCTGAACAAGCATGCACAATGGGTAGGCTTTTTCACTATTGTAAAACACTTATAAACACTCGGTGGGCGAGAGCGGCCCAGGTTTCACGGTTGAGTTACCCAACTAATGGCGAATTCGATTGGTCGTTTTGGAGTGCGCCGGGATCGACTTTTCTGGAGCGAGCATTTTTCACTAGGCGATCAGGATCGAGACGGACGTGTTCCACTGCTCGTTTTGGATTAGCTCTCGCTCCAGATCTCGATCTGGATCCGAAAAAAGTCGCTCCGACGATATCGGCGGATTCAACCGGAAACCAGCCGGCGCACACACGTGACTTCCTTTCTCGCGGGGCATCTATCCTGATCTCGCCCATCTCGCCTCAGAATTCGTAATGGCCGCTTGCTTACCGCTTGGCTGCCTTGGCTTGACAGCCGGTTTGTTTTCAAGGAAGGAGAAGAGAAGGTTTTGCCACGCTACGGACATTCCGGCAATCTTTGCTAGTAGCTCCTGAGCCATTCCTGCCGCTCGTGCGTCGAACACGTGTTAGCACCGCGGTTGCGAAAACGTCTTCGAAACAACCGCGGCGGCCGCGGAAAGGGGATTCTTGAGCAGTTGAATGACGGGAAGGCATCCGCCGATCCCGGAGCGGTGGTCATGTTTCAGCTGGGGATCCGTAGGCGGCGTGACCCTGTTCGAATCGTGTGCTCCCTTCCGGATCTGGTCAACTGATCCCGGCGAGCTTCAAAACGCCCTGTGGAATTCATCATAAGGGTTTTAGTAACGTTCGTTGGAGAGGAAGAAAAACTGCTATTTCATTCATTTTTCTTGTACAAGTTAATAAACCGAAACGAAATCGGATGTCTATTCGGCGTTCAGTGAACATTAAAGGTTTAATGTAAAAGTTATATAACAAACGTAGAAAAATCATTTCATGGTCCCTTTAACATTATTTTATTCAGTATATAGTTCTGAAATATCGAACATACTCAATTTCCTTTTTAGAGTTCGCTTGTTCCTTATCAGGGAAATTCGATAGGGTAATATAGTCATTCTTTCAAACTAAATATGAATGCGGGTGGCGGGCTTTCGTCTCATTTACAAAATGAACCACTGCATCAGCTGAATGGTACTTCGAACGGATACGGTCTTTTTGGGGCCCTCTCTGACCCTGCGGAAGCAGCAGTAAGATCTAGCGGCTCCACACAGCTTGCTCCGCTCTGTCTGCAGACTCGAACTCTCTGAAGTACGACCACCGGTACACTGGCTACCAGAATGAACGTGAGAGCGCCGCCAAGGAACAATACGACGGTCTTGTAGACCGCACCCTCCTCCTCGAAGACTTGGAGCGCCAGGTCCTGGTTCCAATCGCACGGCCTTGAAGTATTTGCGCAGACGCACTGGTAGTGTACGCACTGTCTCTGGCTGTCCTGACACGGCGACAGGCGGGAGCACTGGATAGCGACGCAGGAGGCGACGCCATCTTGGTCCCTGTAGACGTATCCAGGCTTGCAGGTACACCAGGGCCTCTCACCGCAGAGGCTGTTGGGAACAGTGGAGTCGCACTCTTGACTGCAGTGGCCGAAGGTTTTTCGGTTGCATTCACCAGCGATGATGCTGCATCCGACACGACAAGTGCATCTTCCTAAAAAAAAAAAAAAAAAAAAAAAACCACAAAGCTGAAAAAAAAAAAAAAAAAATTTGTTTCTTTCTGGGGTGTCACAGTTGATTTCTTTTACATGATCGGGACTTAAAATCGGTAAAAGACTGATGGTTACGTTGGTCATAGGTCCGAGTACTTAAATGGGAAAGCTCGGGCCGCTCACCCACAAGGGTGCACAATACACAACACCATGAATATAATGAAACTATAGTGGAGTGAAAGCAGAAACACTGCGACTTCTGCTATGCCAATGCTGCAAGCACGAGAGCACGCGATCTTGGCTTTGAAGCGTTCGTCCGCAGAACGAGCTCTCGCGCAAGATAGGCCTCTTCGTAGGTCGTAAGCAACATTCTCGTAAGCTGCAGATAGAAGGGCTCTGAAGGCGCGTGCTTAATCCGCACTCAGAAAGACAACACAAGCTTCCGCTATATCCCGCTAGCAGCGCAAACATCTTGCATACGATCTTCGAAATTTTCTTTTTGTTAGCGCTATGCCAGAACCGAACCTGCAACGAACCCCGAGAAACGCTTCAGCATTGATGGCGTGAATGGTTTTTTCAGCAGCGTGTGGTGCAAAAACGCTATGCTTGAACGTTCAGCTGTGTTTGAATACGACCTTCCAATGTTTACAACTCCGGAGATCAGGATGCACACGTTCGCTGCTTTGGAGCGCGAGCAACGGTACCGCCATAAGCCCGTACACTGAATAAGCTTGCCGAAAATAATAAAAAGTAAGTTAGAGCAACAAAAAGCAACCGGCAAATGTGCGTATCGCCTCAGTAATTTAACAATTCAATTAGCAATGTGAAGTTATATAAACTGCCTGAGCAATTGCCTGTAAACTAGGCGGTGTCCTGACACGCTTTAGTGGGAAAGCATTGCTCGTAGGGGTCATTATGCAAAAAAATTTAAATGTTTGTATATAAAACTTCATAGCCTACTTGTTAAGCTCTCTCCATATAAATATAGCAGCTTATGTTGTATGTTATGCGGACGTTTCTTTTTCTATAAATAAGTAGGCTTTATGATATTTGTGCGCGTCTTCGTGGAAAGGAGATGACTGAAGAGTTCTCTTTCCAATGGCGCGATTCTTGCTGGGCCGTTTCAAAAGGCACTGTTGTGGTCCGGCCATACCCGATTAAATAAATTATAATAACGGCCGTATTTACACACAAAAAGCACGGCGGATTTTGTTACTATAATATAATCCGGCTTTATTAATAAAACACGAATCAACTGATACGCTCAAATTATTAGTTTAGCACTGTATTCTTATATCACTTTGAGGCAACCCATACCTGTATACTCAGCTCGATCTTCGTAAGTTCATGCTACAAAAAAAAAAGTATTTCTTGAACTTCTTAAGTGATAATAAACACCAAAAATTGAGTGAACTAACCAAAAAATCGAACAATGCAGTCTAGCAGATCGTCGGCTTTTTCAAATATGTTCGACAACCATTTTCTGTTCTAAAGAAACTAACATCCTCAGAAACTCCAATCTACGTGCTTTCTCACTTACCCGACACACACTCGCTGTTTTTCCAGAAGCAGTCCCGGTTACTTAGACATTCTGCCGCCTTGCAGTTGGCATCTTCGACCACGTATCCAGGCAGGCAGCGGCAGCTTCCGGACACGCAGGTCTCGTTGGCTGGACAGTCCGCATCCGCGGTGCATCGGTCCGGGAGACACGTCCTATTGAAGAAGTGGTACCCCGCCGAGCACTCGCACACTCCAGCGAAGCAGAAGCTGTGCTTCACATACTGACAGCTCCTATGATCCGCGCATGATAGGGTGCATACTCCCGCGAGGGAGCGACCGAACTCCTTCCCCGTGCTGTCGGTGCATGTACAGACGTCCTTGAGGCAAAAGCCGTTCACGCGACTGCACTCTGCATCATTCGCGCAGGGGTCGCCTATTCCGGACACCTTCTTTGGGATGTCTACCTCAACGCCCTTACAAATGGGGGTGCCCGACAGACATGCCTTTACGGTGAGGCTCTTGCCAAACGTGAAGTCGTGGCGACGTACCAGGTACACGCCGTTGAAGACCCGCCGATGGCCGTCCACGAACAGTTTGGAAACTGTTTTTCGTTCCAGTCTGTCCGTGATCCAGTAGACGAATGTGTCTCCGTAAGTGACGAGATAGTAGCCAATCTCGAGGAGATCGCTAATCGCCTTTGGCAGCTTCCTGATCCTCGCTGTGAGGGTAAGAACGCCCTGGAGCCTGCACTGACGTCGTCCTTTTTTCGAGAAAAAAGCCTCGTTTGACGACGCGCAAGAACAACGGTCGTCAGCGCAACTGTGGGTGTCTAGCTCGGTGCAGGCATTCCTTGGGGTGCACGCCGGGAGCTTTGGCTGGACGTCGACGCTCCAGGACAGTCTGGCAGAGGGACCTTCGTCGATAAGACCGGCTTGACAAACATAGATGCTTGTGTCCCGAAGTCTGATTGAGCTGATGTCAAGAGAACTGTTAAGGCTGACGCTGTCCTGGCCTGGTACAAGGACATAGTAGGATGATGTAGGCTCGGAGTCTTTGAAGCACTCAACGAGGACGCTGACCTTGGTCTCAAGTGTGTAGTTGAGTCGCAGTCGCTCGCCGACAATAGGTGTCAGCCTGGTGGCGTGGAGAGCAGTCATTGTGATGCCGTTCGAATTGAGGTCGATGGCTTTAGAAAATATACTTAACGTCGCCAATAGAATTAGAATGGTTCTCCTGAAGCGCATCTTTCTTTTCTTCTTCTTTCCTGATTTACCAGTTTCCCGAAAAGAAATGCTCGGAAGAAGATAAAGTCTCTTTTTCTGCATGTTGGCAGCAACAGTAGTGCGAGAGTCAAATGCCATCGATCGTTTAATCATACATGTCCTCTTACGGTTTCTGCATGCTAAATCTGGTTCAAACTTTAAAGTTAATATATACAAACTCAACTCTGTTACGTCACGCCGTGGTGGTGGCGCGTCGGGTGCACTTCCTCTCTAAGGCTGTGGGCGGAAGTCACTGTGCGAAACATGCATTCCTGCATTCTTTAGGAAGAAACCAGCAAAAACTTGCCTTCTCGTCAAAAAACCGCAACGGGAGACCAGAAAAGTCGGGAAAGGTTTGAAGATAAGTTTTCATGTGTTTTTTTGCCTTCTCCGTTCGTCCGAGAACGTGGATAGTAGCCGTGAAATGGGCAAAACAGACGCTGTCGAACTACGATTTATTATGTGGGAAACTCTTTAGGTTGAATTAATAGAAACTTTTTGTCGTCACATTTATTTGCTTTGTTCCAACATGAGCAAGAGAAAACCGCCAAGTTGTCCCGACCACCCGCGGGTTCATTGCGTCTTCAAGTTCAATTGGCCACCTGATCGTTCAAACTGTATTCTGCTCTTTCATACTTGTCTACATTTTGCTGTCTGCTCGTTCAAACAAAAGCGGCCCGTAGACCAAACGTTGACCGGTGATTGCGATAAGACATTTAAGAAGGCTCGGTGTAAGCAGTAGATACAAGATTGTGATCATTGGTACCAGTGGCCATCATCGAATTGTTACGCCTGATTCACTTCGTCTGTTTCCGCTTCCGATTTTCAGTATCGACGTCGATCATCACCACTACCGTCAACACTTTTACAGCTCGAGCGACGTCGTGAGCGAAAATAGCGAGAAGAATCTCTTCATGGTTTCGGCGTCCACTCTGCAGCATTCACACGGATGAATTGCCGCACGTCAAACTATTTACTGAACGATTTGCGGCGTAACGAGCCTTGATAATTTCGCTCAGACGACGAAGGTGGTAAGACATACTGCTATGAGGACGTAGAATCGACAATTCCAACGCAAAAAAGAGTACAGACTCACACGGACGCCGACAACGTGACATTCCAATGGTTTGTTGACGCGGGACGCAGTGCTTCTTGCCCACACTCCATCGCGCACGCGCGGTGGCAGTGGCGTGCCGCTAGGGGCGCTCCCTCCTTCCCCTCCCCTTTCCTCTCTTCCCCCGTTCCTCACCCCAAGTCAAGCATTTGTCAAAGCTACCTAACTCCCCCCCCCCCCCCCCTTCCCCGAAAAGAATTCCTGGCTACACCAGTGGATTCCGTGTGTATGGTACGTGCTCCGCTTGCTTTCCAATGCTCGTGTAAGAATAGGCTCTCTCCGCTTAAAGGGATACTGAACCGATATTTGGATTTCGCAAAGTTAGGCTGCAGAAGCGTTGAACGGAACTCTACGAACTCCAAAACATTACTCGTACATCGATATCTCAAACGGATGGCCGTACTTTTGGAAAAGAAGGGCGAGATCAAGCGAATTCTTTGGCGTAACTGCCCTCCGGGAGAATTTGAGAATGAGGAGAAGCGGCCTCGCTCCTCTCCTTCTCGCTTCGGTTCACCAGCTTGACGGGACGTAGCGAGGAGATGCGAGAATGGGAATCGTGACGTGCCTTGTCTCGTCGGCCTCGTCGGCCGGGTGCGTGAACGCTTGTGAACGTGTGGCGCGTAGACCTACATTCAGAGAACAAGCGCTTCGTGTTGTCTGTGAACCGAAATTTGGATTTCAAAAAAACAATGCAGGAGATGTAGGCGGGACGCTACAATCCTTACAACACTACTTGTAAGGCGATATCTCGAATGGACGGCCGTATTTTTTGGAAAAAGAGGTCGAGATTGAACCAGGCCGACGAAGCGCGTGATGTCAAGATACCTTGCTTCCTCCTCTCTTCGCTTCGCTCCCTCAAGGCAGCGAGGCGGAGAAGACGCGAGGTCGTTCCCTCTCCTTCTCGGAGAAACATGAAGTCAACATTTCTGCTAAATGCGCCTCCTTTTGTGAAAAATACGGTCATCCGCTTGAGATATCGCTGTATGAGTGATGTTTTTGTGTTTGTAGCATCCCGTTGCACGTTTTTGCCGCGTGTTTCGGGGAATCCAAATTTCGGTTCAGCATCCCTTTACAGGGGTCATGAAACGCTTTTTCAACTTTTTCCTGTTTAACTTTCCTCCTCAACTCATAAATCGCGCATTCTACCAAACAGTTCAAAAAGACGGAAAGGAGGAGTCCCCTCTTGCTCGGACTCTCGTTTGTGTAATCCCGGACGCATCCATTCTCCCCCTAGAAGATTAGCCCGTCGCCCAAACTTCAGACAAAAGTTGCTTTCCCCAACCCGTTCACCCCGAAGCTGACAGTGCTGTGGAAGCTACGTGCTCGTTGGGCCAGCCAGACTTGCCACGTGATCAGGCTCCTTCGCGCATACCCACCCGCAGAAGATAAGGTCAGGTGATGACAGGGAGGCGGCTGATTGGTCCGGCAAGCGCGTAGCTTCCACCACAATGTCAGCTTAGGGCTGAAGGGAATAAGTGAGGTCCGGTTTCGTGTGACGTGCGTTTGGACCCGATGACGCGCTTTTGGGACCGCGGATGTATCACAGTCAAAAGGCAGAGAGCTTGCGAAGGGGAGGAGGTACGAAATAGTCCGCTGTGTTTTCAAATTTTCGCACTGAAAGTCAGACTTTTGACTTTCTACCTTTTTTTCTTTTGGCCGACTGAACGATGTGCTATTATTAAAATCCCAATCTAAAATGATTTATCCCAACCAAAACATTGTTTCTTGGGCCCTTTTAAAAGCCTCTGACACGCCAAAAAAAATTGTTTTTTCATGCTAGGCGTTGAAATTGCATGTCAGGACATTACAAAAAAAATTGTTTTACTATTCATTCATTCATTTGCTTTATTTTCAGTGCCACACAAACAGGTATACGCCTTCTTAGTGGTGCACTACGTCTAAATAAAAAGAATTCGCATCTCAAGAAAGAACAAATGTTGACATGTCAGAACGAAAGGAATACATCGATGCACTATAGAGGTGCGTAGTTTTTTATAAAAAAAAAAATAGAAATCCGAGGCCCAATTCAAAGTTTACGCCTGTGCACTGTGACGTAACAATGTACCGCAAGGTATCGGGGCGGTCAGAAGGGAGGCATCGCCGGAAGTCACGTGAGTTGTATACTTCCTCGTGCTTTCCGCGAGCGCGTGTAATATTTGTTAAATATTTTTGTTATTCTCCGCACCTCCACGAGCGATCCAAGCAGACAAGGTTTCTTTTATTTGCTTTTCATCGCTTAATGTTGCTGTACAGGTAGAAGAAGAGGAGTCAGTGAATTGACGTGATCAACTACAATGCCTAGAAGATGCTGTGTGAGGGACTGTCCCGCGGTATTTCAGCAACTGAAGAAGAGATCACACTGCATGCATTTCCGAGGGACGGCAGGCATCTTCAGCCTGGAGAATATACGATGATTCGACGACCTCGGTTTCCGAACCTTCAGCAATGCAATTGGGCGTGTCGTAGGCTAGCAATCCTAATTTGTGCGAGCGTTCTAAAACTTTTTTTTCAAAACTTGATAGCTCCTTTTGTGCCCAGTATAGCTCTGTATCCTCGGACTGACGGCATGCACTCGTACACTGGCTTGTACTCGCAACGCTTTCATCATTGACCTCCATCACGTCGATCTACTGACTCTTCGTCCTCAACCTTTACAGTACGCAAACTAACTGTGGCGGCCCGTGGCCCGTCTAGACATGCTCCAGACAGCGGACGGTCCTGCGACGAAGACCGCGCAAGCGGACGGCGGTCGTAGGTGTGAAACCCGGCACCGCGCATTCCGGAGGGGAAGAGCTTGGTGGCCGAGTGTCGGGGGACCGTCGGCTCAAGAGCCAGACGGCTTAATGGGTTCCCCCTCGCCTTCGTAAAGACAGCTCGGCGAGGGGAGTCTTCGTCTGGGAAACACGTCTACTGGTCCGCCTGTTAGCTTTGATTATTAAACCTATGTAGTCCTTGTTAAAACAGTTATCTTTTTTACTTTACCTATACTGAAGTTCCTTCGCGACCAGAATTGGTGACCCGGTATTCTTTACGCAACCTTTTCTCGACGAGCGCCATGGCTAACGGCGACGACCACGCCCAAACATCGGCGTAGCAGGAACAGCATCAGCAACCGTCCTCCGTGGCATCACTGGCTCTGAAACTCCCACCGTTTTGGCCGGCTGACCCTGCGCTATGGTTTGCCCAGGTGGAAGCCCAGTTCAGCACCCGGAGGATTACGGTACAAATGAAGTTTCACCACGTCATCGCTGCACTGTCACCAACTGACGCAGCTGAAGTCCGGGACCTTATCCTGACTCCTCCCGATGACAACCCGTTCGACAAACTGAAGCACGAACTCATACGACGCACTTCGGCATCAGAACAGAAACATCTCCAACAACTCCTGACGGCCGAAGATCTTGGACACAGGAAACCATCCCAGATGCTTCGCCGCATGACTCAAATGCTCGGAGAAAAGGCGAGCAACGTGGACGACTCCATCCTGCGCCAGCTTTTCCTGCAGCGCCTCCCCCCCAACGTAGGCATGGTTTTGGCGGCGGCTGGTGACATTCCACTCCACGACCTCGCAGCTCTCGCGGACAAGGTGCTGGAGGTGGCGTCGCCCACAGTCTCCAACATCCAGGCTCCTCTCCAGGCACAACAAGCGACTGTGAGTGCAACCTCTGCTTCCCCGTCTAGCGCCGAATTCTGCACGCTTCATACGGAAATCCGGAACCTGACAAAGGCCATTGCTGCGCCCCAAACCGAACGTGGTAGATCTCCGGAACGCCGTTCGGGCTACCGCAGCCGGTCTCGTTCCCTGTTATCTTCCACCAACATCTGCTGGTACCATTCCACATTCGGGGACCAAGCAAAAAGGTGCAGACCACCTTGCACAGCGGGAGCGGGAAACGAGATCCCCGGCACTGAAGTCGGCGAGCAGTGTGGAAGAAACGGAGTGTCGGCTTTTCTTTGTCAGAGACAAGTCAAGTGGCCTTCAGCTACTAATCGACACCGGAGCCGAGGTCAGCATCCTCCCTGCATCCCCCAGCGAACGTCGGCAAATACCGTGCGCACTCTTACAGGCAGTGAACGGCACATCCATCCCTGTTTTTGGAGAAGGATCCCTGACCTTCGACCTTGGACTTCGACGTACCTTTCGTTGGATCTTCTTGGTCGCCGGGACTCAACACGCCATCCTCGGCGCCGATTTTCTCCGGAACTTTCGATTATTGGTGGACGTTCGCCGCAAGCGCCTCCTAGACGCAACGACGTATCTCTCCGTTTCGGGAATAGCGTCCAGAACGTCATCGCTCTGCCTCACCCAGATTCCAGAGAACGGTACCTGCCGTTTTTCTAACATCCTCAAAGAGTTCCCCGACCTCACCCGTCCCTGCAACACCGAGGTTCCCATGCGACACCCCGTCACGCACCATATCGAAACATCAGGACCTCCCGTGCACGCAATACCACGGCGACTCCCCCCCGACAAACTGCGGATCGCTCGTCAACAGTTCGAGCATATGCTTGACCTCGGAATCATCCGCCCGTCCGAGAGTCCATGGTCATCACCGTTGCACATGGTCCCAAAAGTAACACCTGGGCCCGTTTGCTCGAAGCGCTAACCGCGGCTAAAGTTAGCCGCAGTACCTAGGAGGGGGATTTTGAGATCACGTGACTGGCTCGGTAGGGATGCGGGGAAACATGGCGGTGCCCCAGTGAGTGAGTGCCGCTCGCTTTGGAACTAATATGCCGTTGTAACTGCGATATCGGGCGCGTTAGTCAGCAATCAACGGTGTAGGAGGCTTTCGCGTTGCCTTACCCTAATTAAACCGCAAAGCATGGGCAATGGCATCGCCGCATTTTTTTTTTATAGACTTTTGATTCCGGGCATTCCTAAGCCTAAATGAACGCGACAATTGTCGGCATGGCAACGTCTTTGGAAAGCGGATTGTTGATAGCACACAAAAGCAGACAGCGTCCCGACAGACTTTTTTCTAAATTATCCAATCATCGCGAGGAGAACGCTGGAAGTGTTATTCTACGGTCCACGCGCGCTGGTCTTCCTCTTATAAAACATTTGAAGTAAAAAATCATAATAAGGCTTTAACGAACGCGCGTGCAAGGCAAAATTTGTTTCATACTTTTTGCTTTAGAACGGTTACTACTGCAGACGCCAGCACGTGCGACGCGTGCAACTACAGTCGTAGCATGCACCTCGGTGCTTGGATAATTTAGAAAAAAAGGTCTGTTGGGACGCCGTCTGCTTTTGTGTGCTATCAACAATCCGCTTTCCAAAGACGTTGATATGCCGACAATTATCGCGTTAATTTAGGCCTAGGAGTGCCCAGAATCGAAACACTATCTAAAAATTGCGGCGATGTCATTGCCCATGCTTCGTGGTTTAAGCGAGGTAAGGCAACGCAAAAGCCTCCTGCACCATTCGTTGCTGACTAACGCGCCCGATATTGCAACCACAACGACATATTAGTTCCGAAGCGAGCGGCGCTCACTCACTGGGGCACCGCCATGTTTCCCCGCATCCCTCCCGAGCCAGTCACGTGATCTCAAAATCCCTCTCCTAGGTACTGCGGCTAACTTTAGCCGCGGTTAGTGCTTCGAGCAAACGGGCCCTGGAGACTGGCGGACATGTGGGGACTATCGGGCTCTCAACCGGATCACGACAGCCGACCGTTATCTAGTGCCTCACATTCACAATTTCACAGCGACTCTCGACGGCACCACGATCTTTTCCAAAATTGATCTAGTCCGGGCCTACCACCAAATCCCAGTTGAACCGGCCGACATCGAAAAGACCGCGGTCACAACACCATTCGGACTCTTTGAATTCGTCAGAATGCCATTCGGACTCAAAAATGCTGCACCAACTTTTCAGCGTTTCGTCGACCAGGCGCTGCGAGGTTTGCCGTTTTGCTACGCCTACATTGACGACACCCCGTTGCAAGCGGCTCCGCCGAAGATCACGCACAACATCTGCGTACGCTCTTCGCTCGCCTGGCGGACTACGGCATCGTCGTCAATGTCAGCAAGTGTGTGTTCGGCAAAAATGAACTGGAGTTCCTCGGACACAAAGTCGACGCATCGGGTATTCGCCCTCTTGACAGCAAAGTGCAGGCAATCCAAGAATTCCCCCAGCCCGTCAACAAAAACAACTACGTGAGGTTTTGGGAATGCTTAATTTCTACCGCCGTTTTTTACCTAACTGCGCCGAAAAACTTCAACCACTCACCGACTTGTTGAAAGAAAAGCACAACCCAACGACAGAACTTCAGTAGGACGACCCTGCCCGCCAGGCATTTCACCGCGCCACAGAGCTCCTCATAGAGTGCACACTCTATGAGGAGCTCTGTGCAACACATCGCTTGCCCTGGTGACGGACGCCTCCGCCACCGCAGTGGGTGCGGTGTTGCAGCAGGTGGTTGACGGATACCCTCAGCCGTCGTCGTTCTTCTCACGCAAGCTCTCACCAACCGAGCAACGTTACAGTCCCTTCGGCCGTGAACTGCTGGCAGTGTACTTGGCTGTAAGGCATTTTCGCCATTTTGTGGAAGGTCGCAACTTCGTCATAATGAACCACCACAAACCACTTGTGCACGCCTTGCGCAACTTGCGGCCAGATGGTGGAACTCATTCCCAACGGGAGCTGCGTCAGATGTCATGCGTTGCGGAGTTTATATCCGACATCCGCCACGTCCAAGGTCGCGACAACGTCGTTGCTGACGCGCTCTCCAGGGCAAACATTTGCCATCTAGAATCCTCCGCAGTGGTCGACTTCAAGGAAATGGCGAGCGCTCAGCAGACGGACAGCGAGCTGCAGAACCTGTGTAACGCACCAGGTGGACTCGAGTTTCGGATGGTCGCACTACCGATGTGCGACACGGAGCTCCTGTGCGACATCTCCACCGGAACGCCTCGACCTTACGTACCCGAACCTTATCGACGCAAGGTGTTCGACACCCTTCACAAACTCTCCCATCCGGGAATCAAGGCAACTCAGCGCCTGCAGACCACAAAATTCGTCTGGCCCTCCATCAACCGGGATGTCCGGCAGTGGACAAAGGCCTGCCTTCAGTGCCAACGCTCCAAGGTTCACCGGCACACAGTGACGCCCCTAGCAAACTTCCCGCTGCCGGACAACCGATTCGAGCATGTGCACCTAGATATCATAGGACCTCTTCCACCATCCGAAGGTTACACGTATCTCCTCACTATGGTGGATCGATTTACACGCTGGCCGGAGGCCGTCCCAATCACAGATGCCACAGCGCCAACCGTCGCTCACTGTTTCATCTCTACATGGATCTCCCGCTTCGGAGTGCCGTCCCGGGTAACAACTGACAGGGGTCACCAGTTTGAGTCAAATCTGTTCCGGGAACTGACGCAACTCCTTGGCACGACGCACCTGCACACCACGGCCTACCACCCTTCAGCCAACGGTCTCGTCGAGCGACTCCATCGCCACTTGAAATCCGCCCTCACAGCCCACGGTGACAGCATCCACTGGACAGAGACCCTACCCCTAGTTCTCCTTGGCATCCGCTCAGCATATAAGTCCGACCTCGGGTGCACTAGCGCGGAACTGGTGTACAGAACATCACTCAGGCTACCTGGGCAGTTTTTCGAGCACTTGCAAGACTGACTGCCAGATCCAACAAACTACGTCGACCGACTGCGTGCAGTGATGGACAGCCTTCGGTCAACGGCAACCAGGACATCAAAGAGCAACCGCCCTCACGTCAGCGAGAACCTGACACATTGCACGCACGTTTTTGTCAGGCACGGTCCCATAAAGCGCCCTCTTCAAGCCCCCTACGACGGTCCTTTCCGCGTGTTAAAACGCGAACCAAAACATTTCACACTCCAAATTAGAGGCCGAAAGGAGGTGATTTGTTTGGACCGTCTCAAGCCCGCCCACATCGAGACATCACCCCCCAGGCCCACGACGACGGAACCCCCCACAGACGTCGAAGGAGACAATCACAGCAAAACACCCTCGCCTTCCCCACTCCTCGCTCCCAGAAAGGCAGGTGCTCCGGACCCCCGGGGCAAGCAGGGCTCTCCGGCAGCTGCACGGAATCCCCATCAGGGACAAACGACACGTTACGGCCGCAGGGTTCGCTGGCCTGATCGGCTCGTTCTCAACGAAACCCAGCGTTCGCCTGCTCACTGAGGAGGGAGTGCTGTGGCGGCCCGTGGCCCGTCTAGACATGCTCCAGACAGCGGACGGTCCTGCGACGAAGACCGCGCAAGCGGACGGCGGTCGTATGAAACCCGGCACCGCGCATTCCGGATCGGGAGAGCTTGGTGGCCGAGTGTCGGGGGACCGTCGGCTCAAGAGCCAGACGGCTTAATGGGTTCCCCCTCGCCTTCGTAAAGACAGCTCGGCGAGGAAAGTCTTCGTCTGGGGCTCGAGAAGAAAACACGTCTACTGGTCCGCCTGTTAGCTTTGATTATTAAACCTATGTAGTCCTTGTTAAAACAGTTATCTTGTTTTATTTTACCTATACTGAAGTTCCTTCGCGACCACATAACCAACGGTGCAGCGATAAAGAGCTAGGGGAACTGAAACTTCGTTTTCTACAATCGCTCGTACAAAGTAAAGTCACTTTAGTACAAAGAGCAGAAAAAAAAAGCCTTAGGCACGGTCGCGGAAAGCACGAGGAGTGAAACTCACGTGACTTCCTGCGAACCCACTTTTAATAACGTAGGTCGATGCCTCCCTTCTGACCGCCCCTACACCTTGTGGTACACTGTTACGTCACAGTGCACTGGCGGGAACTTTGAATTAGGCCTCCTATTTCTATTTTTTATATAAAAAAACTACGCAACTCTATAGTGAAACAATTTTGTTGTAATGTCCTGACATGTCATTTCAACGCCTAGCATGGTGGTGGTGGTGAACAACTTTTATTTGGAACCAGCAGTTGGCGGTATCCCCTCCACACGCAGGTGGTGGTGACTACGCGCCACGCGGTACGATCCCCTCGGGTATTCCCCCCCCCCCCCCCCCACCAGCCCTCAGCCCCGGGCGCGCCCCTTTTCTATCCGGGAACGAGAGGGGGAGCCCATCGGACCTCCGCGAGCTCCCTCACCTCCCCCATGATCCCTTGCCCGTTGCCTATCTAGAGCGGTTGTGATCAGCCGGACGGCCCTACGCTGAACCTCTAATTCACAGCTCCGCGCCGCGTCTTAGAACTGCGGCGGAATCGTCGTCTTCTCGCTTGCCTCTCTTGGGTTGAGTTCACAGTCCCACAACAGGTGCGACGCGGTGGCCCTCGCCTTCTTGCAAAGTCCACACGTGTCGTCCGCGTAAAGTCCTGGATATATGCGTTTAGCTAGCATCGGTGTTAATAGCGACCCTGTCTGTAATTGTCTGAAAATCGCAGCCTCCTCACGTTTTAGCTCGGAATGAGGGGGAGGTACTACTCTCCTTCCTAACCTATACCACTTCACTATTTCGTTATACGTAGTCATGCGGTCCTTCGTGCTAAACCACTCTCCACCACGTGAGACTGTCCCGTTTGTCGCCGCCCGGTTGGTGAGTCCTCGCGCTGCGACGTTGGCCGTCTCGTTGTGGTTGGGATTACCGTTCACCGACACTTCAATGCCCATGTGGGCCGGGATCCACTTGATCACCACTGCACCATCACGATCACGTCCTGTCGTTGTGGCCGCTCGCAAAATGCGAGCCCCCTCACCACACACCCTACCCTTTGCGAAACTAAGCACTGCTGTCCTGGAATCACTGATCACCGTGTCACAGCCTGGGTCGGCCACAGCTAGAGCTATGGCCACTTCTTCCGCCTGATGCGAGTTGCGAACTCGGGTGCTGGCTGCAGCTCTGGTCGCTCCATTCGATGCGCTCACCACCACCGCCGTGTAGGCCTCTCTTCGGTCCTGGTATTCCGCCGCATCTACGTACACGGCTCTCTCGTCCTGCGCGTAGCTGTCCACAATGGCGCTCGCCCGCGCCGCGCGTCTCCCCGTGTCGTGTATGAGGTTCATGCTTCGCGGTATCGGCTACACCTGGAGTCTGGTCATCATTTGGCTCGGAATTGGCACCGTGTCCCGCGATGCGATGCCGCTGGGATTGACGTCCAAGTCTTGTAAAATCTTCCTCCCAGTTCTCGTGCTAGAGAGCCGCTCGAGGTGCGCCGTTCTTTGATCTTCTGCTATTTCTTCCAGGGTGTTTTGCACCCCCAACTCGAGAAGCCTCTGCGTGCTCACGTTGCCCGGTAGTCCGAGAGCTATCCTGTAAACCTTGCGAATGAAAGCGTCTATCTTGTTTCGTTCGGCGGGGGTCCATTTGTAAAAGGCAGCCACAAATGCGATGTGGCTGATTGCAAAGGACTGCGCGAGTCTGATCATGCTTTCTTCCTTCATACCGGCTTTGTGGTTGGAGATTCGTCTTAGCAACTTGGTGGCAGACATGACCTTATTGTTGAGCTTGGTGATCGTCGCCCCGTTCACCCTGTTCCTCTCGAAGAGCATTCCCAACACCCTGATCCTGTCAACCTCCGGTATCTTGTGTCCCCCTTTGGTTCGGATCGTGATATTTGGTCGTTCCACCATAATCGGTGCGTCTTTTCTCCGCCTCCGTACCCTCTTGGAGGGGATAAGTAACAGCTCTGATTTCACTGGAGAGCACACAGGTCCCGACCCCTTGAGGTGATCCCTCAATTGCCAACACGGCTTCTTGCAGCAGATCCTCTATGTGTCCATCACTGCCCTTGGTGACCCATAGCGTGATGTCGTCAGTGTAAATGGTATGTCTGACGTCTCTAACTTCCTGTAGCCGCTGAGCCACCCCTATCATGACCAAGTTAAAGAGCAGGGGGGAGATTACCGACACTTGTGGGGTACCGACACTTCCTAGCTCTTTCTCGTCTAGTTCTACGTCGCCGCACACAGTCTAGTGGTTCTTCCCGTTAAGAAGTCTTTAATGTAGTTGTAGGACCGCCTCCCCATGTCAAATTTAATAACCTGGGCAAGAATGGCAGAGTGTTCTACCTTGTCGAAGGCACTCTCTAAATCTAGCCCTATGGCCTTATTGTCTCCGGTACTTAGCGGTACGTCTGCGATTTTGTGTTTTAACTGGATCATCGCATCCTGCGTTCCCAGCTTGTTCCGAAAGCCAATGATAGAGTCTGGGTACAGTCCCGAGTCTTCCAGGTATTGCTGCCACCTGCTAAGCAGTACGTGTTCGAGCACCTTGCCCACGCACGAGGTAAGCGAGATCGGCCGCAGGTTCTCCACGCTAAGTGGCTTGCCTGGCTTAGGGATCAAGATCGTCTTGGCCGTTTTCCATTGCTTAGGCAACGTGCCCTCTCTCCAGCATTTGATGGAGTATTTCGTGATGTGCTTATTCGAATCATCGCT